CTTTGCATATAAGAAATTAGATCATATGAAGGCCAAGGTATGGAATTCTAAAAAATTTTCAATATCGAACTGTTGCTTAATTTTCAAAAACATTTCTAGTCAATTTTCCTGCACTTATGAAAGATACTTCCAAGCAAACTAAGGGTTTGAATTCTCAGTAATAACAGTCGACTTTCCGAATGAACTATACCCCAAATACAGGCAAATAATTCATTGTGGTGAGCGAAAAAATCGCCCCGTGGACAGCCTGTCACTTTTAGGTCACGCTCTCAGTAATTTTTTCCTCCCACCGCCCATGTTTGGCTTCTCTCAAAAGCAGTGCCTTCTGGGCGAGAGACGCGTGATCGTTTCGGGACCAGAAGTCGAAATTTTGAATTCGCCCATCTGCCACTCGTCCCTGTCAGTCCAAAGACAGAAGACAGAAGTCCAGAGTGCCCGGAACTTATGATTTTTTGACATTATCATAGTAACTGAAGTTGCTACTCATGCACAGCACACCGAATCCAGAAAATTTGGAACCGTACTTGGGAATTTGACCGTCCTTTTAGGCAGTGAGAACTTGCTTGGTACCCCTGCAGCATCTGACAGAGGAAATAAAAGAATTTTTTCGTTTATTCTCTTTATCAGATGTTGCACTGGTTTAATTCCACATTAGCAACTATACTGCCTTATGAAACGCAGAATAAGATTTTAAAATCACCTTGCATTATTGGACATATGCGGCGTTATTTTGAACATTTTATGAACATCGAACTCATATTCGTTTAAAAATTCGCAAGTAGAGCGTAGAATCATGTTGCTTACGTATCTGCAGCTTAAGGATTTAAGATTTGAAGCATTAAGGATTTCTCGTTCGACTACCTAGTTGAGGTTTCGCAGTACTAACTTGAAATTTCCTCAGTGAAATGGCTGGAGGGGCACAGTATTTTTTTGATGGTTACAAAAACATGCGAAAAGCATATTGCTGTATATAGTTATGGATGCTCAGCAAAGTATCAAGCGTAGTGCGTGACTTACAAAATATGTCTGTTTATGACAATCACGACAATCATACTCAGCAATAACGCTCTATTAGGGTATATCGTACCCTATCAGCGCCAGAGACAACGGCTCTTTGGATAGAAGCTAATGTAAGTTCTGATAACATGTTTGCAAAATTATTGTTGCTATCCTTTTATCATACCAGATCTGCTCGTATTTACATAGTATGCATATGAAAAACAAAATTTTTTATTTGAAAAAATTTTACATTGGCTACTATACTGAGCAATTATGATCTGTAGTTGAGCGGAGGATGGCCTTGTTAATTGTTAATGCGACGTGTCTGATGCTCACTCAGTCGGAAAGGGCCTTTCGAATTGTTACCTCCAAACTCGCCGAGTTCTCTCACGATGATATGCAGTCAAAGCTTTTGTTCCAGTTGTTCATAAAACAGGATAGTAGACACGACAAACCAAGCAACTGCTAGTACCATGCATGTTGTTTGCCATGTTCGATGCCATTTCTATTTTCCTGGTTTTGTCAGCAGCCATTCTGAAGATATTTATGAGGCAAATGGACCACCTGTCCAAATTTTCACAGTCTTAAGAACGGAAAAAGGTCAGCAAAACTGTATTGGTATTCACTGGTATGTACCAGAGTATTGCGATTTACCTTGCATTTGAACAATGTTTGCGCTAGTGATGATCTCTACGACTTATAACTGCTCGCTTGCATGAAAAGGTGTTCTTTTGCGAAACCTGCCTAAACCAATGGGTCTACAAAAGCTAAGGGCATGAAAACAAATTGGACCATCTTAGCGTAATTACATGTTAGAGTTACATATAGGAAAAGAAGGCGCTTCGGTGAAGAATTGGCAGATGTCAAACATCCCGTGCGCTGTCTTCTCAGCTGCTGAGACACTTTGATTCAAAAACACTGTGCCAACTACTGCTTATTTTATAAAATTGCAAATAAAGAGACAAAGTGTTAGGTGTATCCACCCTTTTGAGTCACTCGGATGTTATAAACTGTTGAAAATTTTAGGAATTGGAATTCTTTTAGTTGATAATGTTGTTATGGTGTTCATGACGCTGAACTTAATCATACAGCAAAAGCTGTGGAATTTTTTAGAAATCACGAGATTGTGAAATATATAGGTGTATATAAACTTTCAGATCGTACTTTGTATCACATATTCAACTTTTAATGAACAATATAGGTTTTGAACGAACTCATATGAAAAATACATTCACAAACCGTCAAAATGATTTTTCAACGCTTAATGTGTAGCAGCAACGTGGAACCTTCTTATGTCCTGCAGATGAATCTACAGTAAACCTTAACACCAATATGTATTCTTTCTTGGAT